CCTTGCAGTTTGTGGGTTCGAGCCCTGCATCGGGTTCTGTGCTGACATGACAATAAATAAACATTAAAAAAAAAAAAAGTTTATAGCACCAAATTCACAGGGTTGTCATGAGGATTAAATGAGATAACTTATGTAAAGCACTTAACTCTTGGCAAGCCAATAATTATAAATGGTAACTATTATTTATTAAGTGTAGAGATAATATAGTAATGATAGATTTAAAAAAATTTTGTTAGTGTTTTTATTTATTTTTGAGAAAGAAAGAGCATGAGCAGGGGAGGGGCAGAGAGAGAGGGAGACACAGAATCCAAAGCAGGCTTCAGAAGCTATCAGCACAAAGCCCAATGCAGGGCTCAAGCTCATGAACCTTGAGATCATGACCTGAGCCAAAGTCGGACGCTTAATGGAGTGAGCCACCCAGGTGCCCCAGTAATGATACATTTTTAAAAAAAGAGTTTAAGTGATCTCTTTTTAAAAGAGCCAGGCAGGTGCCCCAGTAATGATAAATTTGTGTTTACTTAGCAGTAATTACATTAAGGAGGGTATTTATTCAAGGGTACCTGTATGATGATAAGAGGGTTTTTATGCAAGGATACTTGTATGATGATAAATACTAGTACTTTTTTGACGACAGCTTAGGTTGTTCTATAGGACCATCCTGGTCACCATTTTAAGCCATGAGATATTTTGCACAAATGAATAGTCTGCCTTTTTTTTTTTTTAAATTTTTTAATGTTTTATTTATTTCTAGGAGAGAGAGGGAGAGACAGCGTGAGCAGGGGAGGGTCAGAGAGAGAGGGAGTCACAGACTCTGAAACAGGCTCCAGGCTCTGAGCTGGCAGTCAGCACAGAGCCCGACGCGGGGCTCGAACCCACGAACCGCGGGATCATGACCTAAGCGAAAGTCGGACGCTCAACCGACTAAGCCACCCAGGCGCCCCGTGATTTCCCCTTTAAAAGAGGACACTTGGCCCTGGGCTGGGGGGGGCGGTGTAAGGTGGGTTTGGGCTCTCACTTAGTCCTGGGGGGCCATAGGCCAGGTCCCTAAACTCGTGGCTCTGAATTCACTCGTGTGTGCTGAGAGAGAACGGCGTGCATCTCGTACGGCTGCAAGAGACTGAACATGCTCTCGAGCGCACACATGGCCAGCGGTGGGCGCTCACTCCTCCCCACACTTGGTGCCGGCTCTGTCCAGGAGCCGCACCGGCCACAATGGAGAAGACTGTGTGTCCCCACAGCAGCCGGGAGGGGGCGCTTATGTTGTCCCGCTGGAGCAGGGCTTCTCAGCCTGACAGCTGACGCCTGACCCCTGGGCTGGCTCCATCGTGTGCTTGGCTAACGGCGGGCTCTGCCCTGAGTCAACAGAAGCTCCTGACTTTGAAGCTGGAGCCTTTCCATTTCCCAGAGGAGAGTTTTGTGTCACAGAGTCCCCAGGTTTGGGGCCCTCGGTCTCACGGGGGGGAGCGCACAGGAGACCATCTGAGCCTCAAGTGGGAGGCTGTTGGGAAGCCCTCTGCCTTCCTGAAGACCTTCTGCTAAAGGTTTATGGGAAAAGAATTGTGGGGAAGGCGCGGTTTCCATCTCTGCTTCTCTCTTCCCTGGCAACGGAAGGGGGTGGGTCGAGTGGCGGTGCAGCTGGGGACACCCGGCCGCGGCCTCTCCATCATGGTACCTCGTCACATACCCCATTTCAGTTCTGTCATGTGGATAAGAAATGGGGACCTGGCCCCTGGGCAAAGTGGTGTCCGTGCTTTGGAAGATGGAGGCGCGAAGACAGGAGCATTTCCGTGAGTTATTAACCTGTTCACCTCGTTAGGGAGGAAGCCTGTCAAGTGTAGATGAGTGGGGATGTGACCGGGGTGAGCGAGGGCCCCCTCCTCAGTCTCGAGGGTCCTTCTCTTGCAGGTAATTTGATGGGCTTGCCTCAAACTTCTAACCACACAGTTTCCGTCGATGCACAGAATTTTCCTCTCGCAGCTCTGCTGCGTGGTGTTAATTAGACGTCCTCACACTGAAGGGCTTGTTTGTGGTTTTGGCCTCGCTGAGTGCCGGCGGGGTTTCTGGCAGAGCCCGTGTGCGAGCCGGAAGATGGGAATGGCACCTAGGTACCCGGTGAGCAGGCTGGCCCGACTCTGCCCTCCTGGGTACGGTCCCCGAAAGGCGACCAGAAGATTGAAGCTTGTTAGAAGACAAAGATCAGGGGCCCATGGGGGGGCTCAGTTGGTTAAGTGTCTGACTCTGGATTTCTGCTCAGGTCACGAGCTCATGGTTTGTGAGTTCGAGCCCTGTGCTGGCTCTGCACTGACGGTGTGGAGCCTGCTTGGGGTTGTCTCTTCCTCTGTCTGCCCCTCCTGATTGTGTTCTCTCTCTCAAAATAAATAAAGTAAAAAAAAAACCAAAAACCCAAACAAACCCAAAATATAAAACCAAAAGTCTGCTGCGTAAATTTGATGATAACAGGCTGTAGTCATGGCTCACGAATGGCACAGCCTCCCATCTGGCAAATAGAAAGGAGCTCCAGGGAGCTGTGTCGAGCGCGAGGCTTTTATACAGAGCAGGGTGGGAAAAAGCCGTTTCTCGCAAAGAGAACATCGTTCTCAGGCGAGGTCCCCTTCCTGTGGGAGACGGCAGGGGCCTGCCAGGCCAACCGTATCACCAGCACCGACCAGGGAGTCCCGGATCGCCAGGCTAGCGGTTCCATACCTGGGCCAGGTGGACACTGCACTTGGGTTGGGCGTGGTCTTGCGTGCTGACCGGGGCCTCTCGTGTTCTTTCTGAGAAGCTCCGCTGCTGCCTTGTGCTCTCACCCCTGGGAGCCTTTTACTTCCACGGGCTTCCGGTGGGTTCTGTGCTGAGTCTGTATTTCGTGCCTGCTGAGGCGAGGCTGACCTTTGAGCTCCGAACTTGAGGGTGGATCATGTCTTCAGGTTCCTCAGAAATTCTTCAGCACGTGTTCCCGCACTGAAGGCCCCGTAAATGACGTTTGGAAAAGAGCACACGCCCTTCACGGTCAGTAGTGACTGGGTAGCACCCTTCAGACCTGGGGTCACGGTCGGGGTGCTGTGCTTCCGGTGGCCGGTGCTCCTGGTTGGAGGTGGGGTCTTTGGGGACAGACAGCAGCAGGGCTCTGCTGCTGCTTTTTCTGGTCTCAGAATAATGGTCTTCAGGGGTAAATGGCAGGGAAGGGCAGCGGCCCTGAATTCGAACTTGGCCCTGCCGAGGCAGCTGGTGCTGCAGCCTGCGGGCAGAGCAGTGTCAGGGTGACCTCTAAGTGGGGGCCCCCACGGCTTTGCATCAGAGTTGACAGTATTTGTTTCGCTGCTGCAAGGAAAAGCGGGCAGTGTTGCCAATGTGGACGTGGCCAGGTGTTAAGGACAGGTGAGGTGGTGACAGACTGACGCTGCAGCCGGCCATTCGAAAACAGTGCTTGAGTCTTGGAAACAGAAACATAATTCTCTCCTGGTCCCACCACCTGTCAGCTCTGAGTGGCCGTTATTTCATCATTTTGCAATAAAAGATAATAGAATAACGATTTATATCTCATGGCTGATGTTTTAATGCGTCTCTCTGTTATCCTGGGCTGACAGTCTGTGATTACAGGAAACGTTTTCTCGGTCACACCCTGGTAATGACTCGTTAATGGGGGATTAGTCCACGGTTAAATCACGTTGCAGCTGCCCGGCCTGGCCTTGCCTTAACGCTCCCTACCTGGGGCAGGGGGTTTGACCCTGCACCGTCACTCTCCTCCAGCGAGGACATGGTCCTGGGAACCCTCCCAGTCCAGAGCCACAGCTCAGCACCTCTGTCTAGGTTTGGTCTGTGAAACTGGCAGTGATCCTGCCCGTCTTCGGTGCCTATGATGTTTATTAGCTTTAAATAGAGGTGACTGCGCCGGCCTTCACGAAGTAAAAACCGCAGAGCAGAGGCGCTTTCTTTCCCGAACCAGGGAGCCCACAGTGTGGCCAGGCAGAGACGCAGGTGCATCTGACTGCTGTGTTGGCTCTCCCTAAAAGCCACCCCAGGACTGCCCCCAGGACCCCCCAGGACCCCCCCCAGGACCCCCCCGGACCATCCCCCCAGGACAGGCTGGGGGCTGGGGGACAGGGTCCAGCTGGGCCTCCATTTGCATATTACGCAGTGGAAAGGTTACAGGAGGGAAACCTTTTAGGAGCCGCCTGAATACCATCTACTTGGCTGAGACCCAGAAACAGTCTTGTAAGAAAATGATGTCGAGGTGACATTTTGTCATAAAAAGATGTGAGTTGGGCTCTGAACCGGGGAAAATTACATAGCATCTCAAGAAGTGTAAGGATCCTGTGTAGTTTAAACAGAATTAGTGCCAGTGGAACTTCATAACGGTTACACGGAAAACAGGGATCAGGGCCGATACTGGCAAGCTGGGTTGCGGTTTTACGTGGTGAGCGTCCCGGGGAAGGGCCCAGCAGGCGTGTGTGCTTGTAGTGACTGGTTCCCGCCAGGGGATGGGTGCCGCAGAGCCGCTCCTGCCTTCTTGTTCGTGCGGGGGCCGTGTCTGTGTGCACGTTCTGTGGATGAGCTCCCGGAGCAGAAGCGGAGAGTCTCCTGTCGAGAATGAAAAGCTGTGATACCAGCTTCCGACGCCGAGGGAGCTGTTTGACTCTGGCGCCCCAGGAGGGATGCCCGTCCTAGTGGGATGCACATTTGTGGCATTTTAGGACGCCGGAGCCGGTGCGCCTGCACCTTTTCTGTGCCCTCTCTGCAGCTGGAGGACAGGCCGTCACCCACGTTCTCGTTTCTGTTTTGCAGTCCTTGTATTTTCACACATCCTTGAACCACCCGAACATCGTGGCTGTGGTCGAAGTGGTCACCGAGGGCAGGAGGCCGGACGACTCCCTCCAGGCTTTGTCTTGCGGGTTCGGAATTCTTCGGATCTTCGGCAACAAGCTGGAGTCTCCCACCTCCGCCTCCCAGGACAAGCGGTATCTGCCTTGTTTTTTTTATCCTCGGGATTTTCCAGCCTCGCTCTGGGGAGATGTAACTGCTCATTGTTGGCCACAACAGAAAGCTTTACCTTTGTCAACTTGTGTGGTGCTCTGTTCCCAACGGTGTGGACTCTGGGAGGATTTGCTTTGGAGTAACTGGGTTTGCCATTTCTGAGTAAGCCACGGATTTGTCCTTCAGATGGGGGTGTGGCCAGCTCCGGCCCTGAGCATGGGGGGTGGTGTAAGGCGGGTGCGGGCTCTCACTTAGTCCTGGGGGGCGTAGGTCAGGCCCCTAAACTCGTGGCTCTGAATTCACTCGTGTGTGCTGAGAGACAACGGCGTGCATCTCGTAAGGCTGCGGGAGACTGAACATGCTCTCAAGTGCACCCGCGGCCAGCGGTGGGTGCTCACTCCTCTGCACACTTGGTGCTGGCTCTGTCCAGGATCCACCAACCACAATGGAGAAGACTGTGTCTTCCAGCCCAGACGCTTATGTTGTCCCTCTGGAGCAGCACTTCTCAGCCTGGCGGGCTGACTCCTGGGGCCGGAGAAGTCTTTGCTGGGGGACATCCTGTGCGCTGCAGGGTCTCTGACAACACCCCTGGCCGGTACCTGCTAGATGCCAGAACATCCCCCCCCCCCCCCGACCTTCGGAAATATATGCTGCCATCACCAAATGTCAGGCAGTCTCGTCCCTGGTTGGGAACCCAGGCTCTGGGTAATGTTGTCTTTGCTGGGACACTTCTGAGGGCTATAAATTTCCCTGGCGTAGTTTTCTAGCACCTGAGTTCTTGGGAGCGTGGGGGCGGTGCTGTGTGACAGAAGTGTGTGGCTGGGGTGCGGGGGCTGCTGCTTTGCTCGGCCGTGTCTCTTCTCTGCAGACGGTGTGACTGGTGGATAGAAACTCTAGTAGGTGTAGGGCGGTTGGCGCCTTGTGTGCTTTCCTTTTGAGACATGTGGCTGTCGTTTGGTGACTGGAAGCCAGGTGCAGAGAGCTGACGCGCGCCCCCTGGTGTCTTGCAGGTTGAAGCTGTACCACGGCAGCCCCCGAGCCCTCCTGCACCCACTTCTCCAGGACCCCGTGGAACGTAAGTGACCAGGCCCAGCCCGCGGTGCTGCTGCGGGAAGTCCTGTGTCCGCAGCAGCTCCGGTTCACCCGGACACTGTCCCGAGTGTTCTCCGCCTTCAGTCCGTCTCGTGGCCTTTCTCCGTGTAAACCTAGCAGCTTAGCGGGTTTATCTAGTGGATTAGGGAAAACTTACCCTGGGCCTGGATTTTGGACACAACCGAAGGGCCTGTAATGTGCCAGCCTGAGGGGAAGGTATTGCTTCCTGCTGACGTCCCTGGGAGCGCAGCCCCGGAGCCCCTGGCGGGAGGGCTGGCTGCTGCCTGGCTGCTGGGGCACCAGCCTTGCCCACCACAAGGTAGTTGCTGTCAGTCACTGGCCCCGTGGGCACCAGAGACCTTTCGCTGTGAGGCCCGCGGGTCACGGGCAGCACGGCAAGGCCTCCCAGCTGTGCCTAAGTGCAGAGAAACGTCCTGCAGGGCCACCCGCCATCCCCCACGAGGGCCTGCAGCTGGGCAGGGGATGGACGGATGGACGGGGGCGCCTGGCGGAATGTCTTGAAGGCCCAGGGTAGGGGTGTGGGGGGTGTTGAGTGGTTGGCGGCAGGTCTGTTTGGGAGGGTGGCTTTCTGCGTCTTGGAGTTATTGCCTGGATTCCGTGACAGGAATTTTGAGCAGGCCCCAGGGCCTGAGTTAAAAATCTAGCCAACCCCACCCCTTCCACTGCTCGCTGAATTTGGCGAAATTTCATTATAGAGGAGCAATCAGTCTGAAACTTAATTTTTTAAAGCATTTAAAACAATTTTTTTAATGTTTATTCATTTTTGAGACAGAGAGAGAGAGACACCCAGTGTGAGTGGGGAGGGTCAGAGACAGGGAGACACAGAATCTGAAGCAGCTCCAGGCTCTGAGCTGTCAGCACAGACCCCAATGTGGGGCTAGAACTCATGGACCTCCAGATCATGACCTGAGTCAAAGTCGGATGCCCGCCCAACTGACTGAGCCGTCCAGGTGCCTTAAAGTATTTTTTTTTTTAAAGTTTACTTATTTATTTTAGAGAGAGAGTGAGTGAGCAGGGGAGGGGCAGAGAGGGAGAGAGAATCCCAAGCAGCCTCTGTAGTATCAGCGCAGAGTCCGACACAAGGCTCTAACTCACAAAGAGCCCTGAGATCATGATCTGAGCTGAAATCAAGAGTCGAAGCCTAACTGGCTGAGCCACCCAGGCACCCCTGAAACTTCATTTTATTGACAAAAACGGACTTTGAGTTTATTTATTTATTTATTTATTTTTAAATATTTTATTTATTTCTAGGAGAGAGAGAGAGAGACAGCGTGAGCAGGGGAGGGTCAGAGAGAGAGGGAGTCACAGACTGAAACAGGCTCCAGGCTCTGAGCTGGCAGTCAGCACAGAGCCCGACTCGGGGCTCGAACCCATGAACCGCGAGATCATGACCTAAGCGAAAGTCAGACGCTTAACCGACTAAGCCACCCAGGCGCCCCTGAGTTTATTTCTTAATTGAGTCTAATCATTACTTTGTTGACATTTTGTGTCCTGGAGCGCCCTTAGGGTCAGGGCTTTATTTTTTTAATTGATTTCATTTCATTTTATTTATTTTTTTTAATTTTTATTTTTAAATTTTTTGTGTTTTTATTTATTTTTGAGAGAGAGAGAGACAGTGTGAGCAGGGGAGGGTCAGAGAGAGAGGGAGACACAGAATCCGAAGTTAGGCTCCAGGCTCTGAGCTGGCTGTCCACACAGAGCCTGACACGGGGCTCAAACCCATGAACAGTGAGATCCTGACCTGAGCTGAAGCTGGACACTCAACTGACTGAGCCACTCAGGTGCCCCATTTTTAATTTGTTTTAAAGTAGGCCCCATGCCCAGTGGTGGGGCTGGAGGCATGACCCTGAGATCAAGAGTCACATGTTCCACCGACTGAGCCAGCCTGGCGCTCTGGGATCAGGACCTTCAGAAGGACGTGCAATCCAGCAGCTTGTCCCGGGGCAGCGGTGGAAGCCTGTGTGGGTCTGGGAGTGGAGAGCGTGAGGGTCACCTCGTGGGCGTTTCCAGAAATGTGCGGAACTCTTGCTTGAATGGGCAATACGTTCATGTGACTGAGAATCAAAATAGCATAAAGAAGTATAAAAAGGTGCAGGGAGGCCTCCCCCACTGCTCTGCTCCCTCCCCTGCACCCCAGGTAACCTCTCTGAGTCCCTAGGATCCTCGTATGGGGACCGGGCAAGAGCACATGTCTGGGCTTCATGTTTGCCTCTGCTTTTCCCTTTGACCATTTACCTTGGTGAAGTTTTCCTGCTGGTGCCTAGACACCCCCTCCCCCCATTCTTCCTGCGGCCGCGGGGTGTGTCGTTGAGTACATGTTCTGTGCTTTACTGAATGGCCCTGTGAGCCGACCCCTGGGGACCCAGGGGACGGAGTTCGGGGGCATCGCTGGTGTGGACGGCTGCCCTTTTGCACACATGTCCGCACAGCTGGGGGTTGAAGTCCTAGAAGCCGGGGTGCTGTGCTGGGTCTGAGGACTAGTTTCTAACATTTCTCCTGATCGCCCTCCATGGAGGCCCAGCCAGCGTCTTTCCAACCAGCCGTATGCGGCAGCGCCTTTCAGGGCATCCAGCTTTTCAAGGAAGCGGCTGACCCTGTGTCTGTGGTGGTTTGGTGTTAAAAACACAGTGTTCATTCATTTCTCTTTCTAACGAATGCAGTACGTCATGTTTAGCTCATTTCTTAGGAAATAATGCAGCGTGTCGTAGGAGGTGGTGAGGCTCCTGTCAGTGGAAGAAGTCAAGTCCCAGCAAGACTGATTTTTGGGGATGGGTAGAGGGCATGTCTCTGGTCTCTCTCAACCACAGGGCCTGTGACTCCGGGCTCTGCCCTTTCTTGAACCTCAGTTTCGGTCGATGCTGTTCCCTCCATCCTCCTGAGCTCTGTGTCCGACCCTTTTCAGTTGGCTTTCTCCAGGACGCTCTCCCCTTTCCCTGGCCCGCTGTCTGCTGTCCACACCCGCCTGGGGATCAATCCCGTCCTCCCCTGTGCTGTGGACATCGCTGTTTGTGTCTTGGTCGCCCCAGAAGAGCGGTCCGTCCTCGAGGGCAGGGCTCTGCCTCAGAGGCTGCTGCTCGCAGGGCCTAGTCCTGCTGCTCTGTGGGCTCGAGGGCGCAGGAGCTGAGTGGGGAGGGAGGCAGGCTGGGGCCCCGGGGGCCTCCTACCCCCCCCCCCCCGCTGATAATTGGGACCAGGCGGTGCCTGGACTTCATGACTCTGGGGGAGGGATGAGCAGGAAGAGTTTAGTTGTGTTGCATTAAAAGCAAGTACCTGGGCGGGCGCCCGGGGGGCTCAGTCGGTTAAACATCTGACTTCTGCTCAGGTCACGATCCCATGGTTTGTGGGTTTGAGCCCCACGTCAGGCTCTGTGCTGTCAGCGCAGGGCCCGCTTCTGATCCTCTGACCTCTTTCTCTGCCTGCTTGTGGTGTGCATTTATCTCTCTCAGAAATAAACAAACATTAAAAAAATTAGAAAAAACCCCTGGTATCTGTGTCTGTAGTTTTACTAGAGAGTTCTTTTTTTGTTGTTAAAAAAAATTTTTTTTAATGTTTTATTTCTGAGAGAGAGAGACAGTGTGAGCAGGGGAGGGTCAGAGAGAGAGGGGGAGACACAGAATCCGAAGCAGCTCCAGGCTCCGAGCTGTCAGCACAGAGCCCGACGCGGGGCTCGAACCCACGAACCGTGAGATCATGACCTGAGCCGAAGTCGGACGCTTAACCGGCTGAGCCTCGCAGGCGCCCCTGGAGAGTTCTTAAGGATTGGTTCTTTTTGCTTTTTAGGCTGAACAGAGCAGTTCCCCTGCCTTTGTGGAAAAATACGTTTCCTGTGTGTGGTGTTTTCTTTCTTAGATGCTCATTTTATCGGCTGGTTTGACCCAAAGGGCCTTTGGTCACAGCTGTCACACAAGTGTTTCCCCCGCAGAAAACAAGCACGTGACCCTAGTGGAGAACTGTAGCCTGCAGTACACGCTGAGGCCGCACCCGCTCCTGGAGTCTGTGTTCCATCTCATTCCCGAGAACCTTCTGGTGTCTGGTCTGCAGCACATTCCTGGCCTCCTTCCGGCTCATGGAGAGAAGGGTAAGGGCTGGTCTCTCTCCTCCGGTGTCTGTATCATTGGTGGGTAGACCTCTCAGGAACTGGGCTCTACAGTGGGAGGGGGCTGGGCATGGCTAGGCGCCCTCAGCTAATGGCCTTGTAGAGGTGGGGGTGGGGAAGGGGGAAGGGGTAGGGGGAGAAGCGGGGAGAGGGGAGAGGTGGGGGAGGGGGTGAGATGGGGAGGGGAGAGGAGAGAGGGGAGGGGAAGGGGAGGGTGAGAGGGAGGAGGAGGGAGGGGAGAGGAGAGAGGGGCAATGCCCTGTCTGTCGTCCCTTCTGAGCAGTGTCTCATGTCCCTCAAGGCACTTGTTTTCTTTCCTTGGGAAACGCTTCCGTAAGACAGAGAGCTCATGTGTCTATGACCAAGGTCAGGAAAACCGCTTGCAGGTCTCAGCCTTCCTGGACCCCCATGTCAGCGGCCCGAGGAGGATTATTTTTAAATTGTGGTGGAACAGACACGGCGCAAAAGTGCTGCCACCACCGTGCACCCCCAGAACGTTCTCGTCGGCCCACCCTGAAGCTCTGTCCCCACTAAATAAACACTCCCCGTCTCCCCTCCCCCGCCCCGGCCGCTGCCGTCCTGCTTTCTGTCCCTGAGTTGGCGCCTCTGAGGTCCTTCTACGAGGGGAATCCTCAGTATTCCACTCGTGTGACCAGCGTTATTTGACGTGGCATCGTGCCCGAAAGGGTCGTCATGTTGAATCGTGTGTTGGGATTTCCTTCCCCTTTTAAGGCCGAGTGATGTTGCATCGCAGGGACGGGCCACGGTGTGTTCATCCGTTTTCCTTTGGACGGACTCCTGGGTTGCTCTGCCGTTTGGCTGTTGTGCCTCATGCTGCTGTGAACGTGGGTGTGTGGTGGCTGGATTACCTGTGAAAACGGAAGTCACGTGAAAGCCCCAGGGCCCGTCTTGGCGTGATCTAGAAGGAGGTTCTCCGGTGGGGGATCTGGGACAAGGCCTTCGCGCCTAGGAGATCGCTGCAGAGGCCTGCTCTGCTCTGGGACCTGCTGGTGGGGCCCGGGCCTCGCGCTCCTTCTGGGCCCTTCCGGGGCTTTTTTGTCAGACTGTGTGAGGGTCCAGGAGAAGGGACCACCCCGGTTCTTTCCTGCCCACCCGGCTGGGCCTCTTGTCCTGGGGGATCTGGCCCCCTGTTCGGGTCCAGGGAGGGCAGGATGGGGCGCGGGTGTGAGCTCTGATGTGCCAGGTTTTGACTTAGAGACGCCCAAGAACCGGAAGAAAAGATGTAGTTCAACTCTAGGCGGGAATGCGTTCGGTAACGATGTCCCAGGACCATGGTGTCCTGGTCCCTGCTGGGGTGCAGACGTCGTCCTTGGGTTCATGGATTTCTGCGATGGGTCCCTGGGGGTCCTCTCCTCGCGAGGTCACCGTTTTTCCTGAGAAGAGATGGTGATGCGCGAAAAACGATAAATTGACTAAGAACAGGAGCAAGTCCTAGGCTGGGTCCCAGCTCTGGGCCTGCCGTGGCTCACTGAGCTTCAACCCCCACGGCCCCCCAGCCTCATATGGGAAGTCTTACTGCTCTCTCTAACTCTCTTGTGTGCTCTCGAGAGGGAGGAGGGGACAGACAGGGACACAGAGAAAATGCCACGTGCTGTCTGCTGTCGAGACTGAAAGCAACGTGACAGCCTGTGTCTGGCTCGGACACCTTGGCCCCATCGGCCAGGGAGGCCCCCTCCGTGCCACTGTGCTGCGTGCTGAGGTCAGGAACTAGGTGCACGCCTGCCGTCGAGTCTGGGGTCTCAGTGAGCAGCCTTCTGTTGGGGCCCGCGGCAGCCCTGCCACTCTGTGAGTCGCCAGTGGGTGTCAGTAGAGCTGCAGGGAAGACCTGCAGGTGCCTACAGCTCATCCGGGCTGTGTCCCTGTCGCTGCCGCTGGGGCGAGAAGGCAGCTCCTGCGGCCCCGGGTGTGTTCTCCCCATCTTGTGCCAGTCCAGGGTGTCAGAGGGGCCGCTGCAGCGTGGGGCGTGATCCCGCTGCTCGTGCTCCAAGGTCATGTCTCCTGAGGGGCCGCTGCAGCGTGGGGCGTGATCCCGGCTGCTCGTGCTCCAAGGTCATGTCTCCTGAGGGGCCGCTGCAGCGTGGGGCGTGATCCCGGCTGCTCGTGCTCCAAGGTCATGTCTCCTGAGGGGCCGCTGCAGCGTGGGGCGTGATCCCGGCTGCTCGTGCTCCAAGGTCATGTCTCCTGAAGGGATCTGAACCCCAGTGGCTTCCCATCAGCCCCCTTCGTGTGGGGCACCCAGCTGTCCATTGGGGTGCTTACTGGATGCAGGCAGGGAAATCTCAAAACTGATGAGAGTTTATGTTGTTTTTTAATTTATTTATTTTGAGAGAGAGAGAGCGCTTGTGCACAAGTGAGTGAGGGAGGGTCAGAGAGGGGAGACAGAGTCCTAAGCCGTCTCCACGCTGTTAGTGCAGAGCCCGATGAGGGCTTGATCTCATGACCCTGAGGTTATGACCTGAGCTGGAATCAAGAGTCTGATGCTCACCCGACTTAGCCCCCTGGGCGCCCCTGTGTTGTATTTAAAAACCAGTGACCAGGGCCCGTGGAGGGTGGAAAGGCAGGCTCATTCCCCCTTCTCCAGGAGAAAGGACTGGAACGTAACTTCTCGTCAAGGTCCCCAGTGACCACCTGATACTCCGAGAAAGGAGACCTGTCTTGCTCAGGCTTCGCCTCACATGCGGGGCGCCAGGTTGAAGACCCAGCTCCCAGCTGCACACAGCTTGCGTCCTGACTGTGGTCGTGGTCTGTGTTCTGAATCCTGCCCAGGGTCTTCTGGGCCTTTGTGACTCCAGCTTGGGGAAGGGTCGCGTCGCTGGGGAACGTCTCATAGCCCAGAAAGGGCCAGGGCAGGGCCTGGGACCGGCTCCCGTGGCGGAATTCACGTGCCGTTCGTAGAGGGTCTGACTGTTTTGGCAGCTTGTGGGGACGTGGGTGTCTGTTTGCTTGGGAGGGGCCCGCGTCCAGGGCTGAGCTGGGTTTTTATTGGGGGCACTGCAGACTCATACGGGGTCAACAAGTCAGAGGGTTCCCGGGTGCCTTTTGCCCAGTTTGCCCCAAATTGTTGCTCAAGGTCACGACCAGGTACCGAAGTTGACATCGTGGCCAGCCTTCTCCCTGTGGCTCCAGTTTGACTTCCTCCTTTGTGTGAGGACCGGCTTCTGAGGAATGGTTTTCAAGCTGGGAGTGACTGGAAACGACAGCCTGTGGCACCTCTGGTGGCTCCTTGTCACCCCCCAGGGGAGGGGCGGGCCTTCCCTTCCAGGGAGGCTCTCGCCATCTGCACAGATTAGCAGGTGCCATTGGGCATCGTCCCTTCTCTGCAGCTAGGAACCCGTGCACCTCCCCATCTTCGCTCTGCCCTTTTCACATGCTTGTGCGTGGTGGGCCCGGACAGCCGCCTCGGCGCCAGGCGCACCGCTCACGTGCCCGTGGGAGCCCCCACAGCCCGCTCAGAGCAAGGCCCCGCTCTCGCAGCCGCAGAGCCACGAGCCGGCCACTGCCCGGAGCTGTGCTGCTGCCTCTGTCGGTGTGTGTGTGGGGTCTCGGGAGACAGAGCGGGGAGGGGACTCGGATGGCTTGCTCGGCCTGGAGCGGGTGCAGAACTTTGCACGAAGCGGCCGGGTGCAGTGGAGGCTGTCGTCAGTGTAAGCGGGGGTAAGCCCATGTTCTAGACCTGGGCCCGTGGCCTTCGTGCCAGGACGGAACGGAGTCCTGAGCGAGGGTTCCTGGCCAAGTGCTCAGGGAGGTGTGGGGGTCCTGAGCCCACTTTCCATGGTGCTTCTAGCTGGAGGGAAGTGGAGGGGATCCCACTCCCCCCGCCGCCGCCCGAGCCAGCTGCCACCACAGCGGCATCTGGAGCAGAGCACTTGACCGTGGTCCTCTGCCAGGGCTTGGGGGGAGCGAGCTGTGGCCCAGCGGCATCTGGGGGGGCAGGGCCCCCAGGGAGACCACGGAGGTCATGGAGGCGGTCTGGACGTCGGGAGTCCCCGGAACGTGTGCCCGGCAGGGAGGCTGAGGAAGTGTGTTGCTGAGGTGTCCCTGCCGCGTGCGCGTCCCCCAGGGCCGCCCTCACCGGGAGCCTTGTCTCCCTGACCCGCACACCTGCTGCTCTCTCCCCTTCGTTGGCTTTGAGCACCTGCCTCCCATCTTTCCTTCCTCGCTGCCTTCCTCCTTCGCACCTTCCTTCGGTTTCACTGCCTGGCCCTCCTGCGTGCCCGCTCCCATAGACGCGCCCCCATGCGGCCTTTCCTGTGGCCCTCCCTCGGCTGCCACTCGGTGGCCCCCTCTGCTTGGTGTCCCTGCTCAGGAATCCCCTGAGGGGCTCCTTGAAGACGCTGCTTCCCTGACCCCTGACCTGCTGCGACCCCCAGCCCCCGACCTGCTGCAACCCCCACCCTGCTGTGACCCCCGCCCTGGTGACCCCGCCCCCTGCTCTGCTGTGACCCCGCCCCCCGCCCTGCTGTGACCCCAACCCTGGTGACCCCGCCCCCTGCTCTGCTGTGACCCCGCCCCCGCCCTGCTGTGGCCCCAACCTGCTGCTTCCCCGCCCCCCGCCCTGCTGTGACCTCAACCCCCACCCTGCTGTGACCCCGACCCCAGCCCTGCTGTGACCCCGGCCCCCGCCGTGCTGTGACCCTGACCTTCTGTGACCCCGACCTGCTGCTTCCCCGACCCCCGCCCTGCTGTGACCCTGACTCCCGCCCTGCTGTGACCCTGACCCCCGCCCTGCTGTGACCCTGACCCCCGCCCTGCTGATGGTGCATTTCAGCAACTGGCATCCAGGCACCTCGGTGGCTGTGGGGTTTTCCCGGCTCCCCAGACCGCTCAGACCCTCACCGGGATTCGGCTCCCGGGTTGCCCCATGTGAGCGCGGGGTGCAGGTGGGCAGGGCTGGTGCCAGCAGAGGGGGCTCCTGCCCTGTGTGAGCCCCAGACCGAGGTAGTGTTCCTGAGAGCACCCCC